AGACAGCATTATGCTGTAGTCGGCAATCTTCCGTTTTGGTATAGAGTGGGACAGGGAGGGGGTGATGCTACTGTAGTCGAACGGTGGGACGGACGTGCAGTTCAGTTTTTGGGCACGCATACGGTGCTGCAGGGATTTTTAGGTGTACCTCTTCGGGCTCTTGCATACCTTTTTCTCGTCAGATGTGTGCGTGTTCTTTAGATCCTCAGATGGCTCTAGCACTTTCGTGACCACGGGCTGAGAGTCTTTTGCTAGATTTTGGCATTTAGCAACTGACATACGGTTTAATGTGAAGACAAACAACAACAAACAACATCAATAAATACCCGCCAGGTTACACATGGCGCATGCCTACAGTACCCACGGTGCACAGGTCTAGATTCCTCCCATCTGCCGGCGGTCCATCTGATGCCGTCAAAAATAAGTCGTACATAACCTCGTCCCTCACCGAGGGCGAGGTTAGCTCTCGCTTGGAGGGCTCAATCCTACTTGTACGCAAAGGAAAGGGCTGGCGAGTACCGTGAGACGCAGTACCTTCTTTCGAAGACCGTTCATTCGTTTACTCATGAAACTCAAAAGAGCCGTGGAGCCAAGCCGCGGGGGGAGGTTCAGGGGACTCTTCGCGATATGTGGAAGGAAAAGCCGTCACGTCAGGGTAGTTTTTTTTTTGTCTCCGCCGGGACAGTGATATGTGTTCGTGAGGTGGATTATGCCATCCCTACAAAGGCTACTGCGGTAGTACTCACGTGTGGTTTCGAGCTATGTCAGTGCTCAAGTACGTGGCCGTCCATCGGTCATTTGGATCTTCGGGGTATCTCCGGTAGTGGTATCTGTGGCAAGTTGTCACGCGTTCCGTGCTGTCATGTGTTCCGAGTTCCGAATGTGTCTTGCGATTGTTGCTCGCGTGCCTCGGTGTTTGTGATGCACCCTGGTGCCCATTCTCTTCCGTTGCTTGTGTCTACGAGGACGACCAATGAAACGACTTTAGCATCTCTTCACACTGTCAACTGGGACAGCCGTGCTCATCCAGCAGCACTCGGCTTGGGGCCAATCAACAATACGTACTGGTGTTCCTCGGTGCGACGCTGAAATACGCTCGTGTTTTTTTGGTTCACAAGAATGAGAACAATATACTACTGTAGATGTCTACTTGTACGTCCCTCCTTCTTCCGCTGCCGGCTATGCAGTACATTAGTTGGCTAAGTACAAACTGGTGTACTGCTGTAGTTGTTTTCTAGTTGTTTTCAACACGTCCCCGACTGCTGTACATCTCATTTCAATTATTGTAAATATGTTCGAACGTCAACAAACGGTTGCCAGTCGTCTCGGCTATGCTGACTTTTCGTACCACATCCTTCCTTGGCAAAAGACGCGTAGTTTGAGGTATAGCATGCCTCCATTGGCCCCGGGGATGGTGAGCTATCGTCCCTTGAATTTTAAGGACGCAACCCCGCTTTAACGACTCTTTTTATCGGGAAATACCATGTGCGTCCTTAAAGCGGGGTCGACTGTATATATCGCCAAAGTTGCGCCGCGCGTTACAGGGGGCCCAAAACTTGGTTTCCGGGAAGCCTATTTAGCACACCTTTGGAACCAGAACGAGATCTATAGGGCGCCGATTGATGATCTGCTCGATTTTGAGCAGGAATAATAGCGCGCTCTTCTCCACACCGGTTTCGTCGTGCTCCGAGAGCAGATGGCTTTGCTTCACCGGCATACGTAGCCTATATTCGTAGGAGATTGTGCTCCCCAACCCCGGGGTTTCTATGTGAAAAGGCGTGCACAAAAGCGGAGATCGCCGGCGCGCGCGACTCAAACCAGAACAAGAAACACGGACAGAGACGAAAGAACACCACCAACGAACGCATCACCGCTGAGACGCTGGTCTGAGGCCAGCTATGAAAACCAGGAGGGCCCACACCAACACCCAGTTACAGCTGCAGGAGCAGACCGCTCGCTTCTTGTGCTGTCTGCGCGTCGGTACTTCAGTACTCACTGCTGTGGTGCGTGGTGCGTGCAAAGGGGGTACGCGGCAGAAAAATTGCGTTACCCCATTATCGTACATTCTGTCTGGCCCCCTGGTGCTCTGAGCAAAAAACAGTTTCCTCAGGCCAATTGTTATGGGAGAAGTTGGAATCGCCGGATTCCAATTCGGCGGGGGCACGCAGACCGGCTAGGAATCCCGCAGGAATCGTGTTTTTCGCTGAGTGCTCGGCCCACAGACATCCGTTCGAGGTCTAACCAACAGGCATGTGTGCTCCACAGGTGTGTTTGTGTCGGAGCCAAGTTTCAGGGGCAGCGGTGCCGATTTGTCTGCAAGACGTTTTGAAAGCAGGGATTCCTGGCGCGGGAATTTCTCCGTTTCCGAATCACCGACACAAACACACTTGTGGAGCACACATGCCTGTTGGTTAGACCTCGAACGGATGTCTGTGCGCCGAGCACTCAGCGAAAAACACGATTCCTGCGGGATTCCTAGCCGGTCTGCGTGCCCCCGCCGAATTGGAATCCGGCGATTCCAACTTCTCCCATAACAATTGGCCGAAGCTCGACGCCGCGGTCACGCCCAAAGTTGTTTCACTTTTCAAATCGTTTTTTTTCGAAAGATATCGCGAAAAACAAGATTGTGAATATTTGCCCGAACGGACCATAAGTGCACGTAAACAAGGTGACACTGCTATGGTACAGAGGTGCATATTGCGTGTGTTGGTCCCATATTGTGTGGCGCCAGTTTACACGACTGCTGTCGGTAGTGAAATATCTGAAGTACAGGATCACACGGGGTCACACAAGAGGAAGGAAGGTAGGAGCTCTTTTCATTTTGTCTGTTTGATTGTACAGGAGTAGCACCCCACACACCTGCCGTGATTGCCTGAAGTGCTTTTTGTGAAGGGTGAGCCACGGGGCTGAGCGCATTCGGAAGGTATCTTGGCTGGTGAGTTGAAGCACGGCCCTCTTGCCCTAATTGATGAGAACAGCCTGCGGTCTGCTTCAATCATATCCTTCCATCATATCCAGACCCACCACTTGCATGTCAGTGCAACGTACACCCGGGACACATGCTGTGCGTGCCAAGGCCCGCCTTTTTTACACCGACACACAGCAGGAGAGCAGCCCGACAAACCTTGTTGGCCGCTCGGTAGGGGAATATACCTGACTTCGTAGTGCTCATGGGACAAGCGCCATCAAGCGTGCAAGAAGTTCTCGGCCAACATGTCGGTTTTGTCAAGCTTACCAAGGGCGCCTCATGGGGGAAATACAGCTGTGGAGTATTTTGCAGTGTGGGCGTCTTGGTGCTTCATCGTCGTCGGTCAAAAGGGGGTCGAAGTTCGACAACCGATATGGGCCAGAGGGGCAGACATAAAGTCTAATGATGGGAGCAAAAAAAAAAAAAGTAGAATCATTTTCGGACCTCTTTATCAGTAGCTACGTTCCCCCGTCCGGCCTGCATCGCTCCCAAGTTGTGCTTGCTTCCGTCTGTTTGCACAGCAGCAGATATAAAAAGAACACAAGAATGTAGGTGGCAGCAAGCGCACCGTTACACGGGTGTGAGTCGTGCGAGGCCAGCTATTCCAACCGCTACTGCTGTGCCTGTGATGTACGTACATACATTCGAGCGAAAAACGGCTACGAAAGGAAGAGCAAGCATGTTGATGATGGAGTGCAGTAGTTTGGGGCATGCGTGCCAGCTACTCGTGTGCTGCAACTGCCCCAATCTATTCTCCACGAGTCACCGCATCGGATTCCTCACCTGCTTCTCCCCGACATACCGCTGGGTCAACTTGAATCTCGTTTCCGGTGCTCACTCGCCGCGCGTGCGTCCCTGCGCTCCTCTCTCCGATGCTTCTATCACAACGCAACCAAACCGCAGAGATGAGGCAGCAGAGTGGTTGAAGGTTCGGCAGCCAGTGCTGTCTCCACGTCACGATGTGACCGTCCGTGTCTCAATGTTTCTCCTTTGGTCTGGAGAAAAAACGGTGACGAGAAAGGCTGGTCTCCGAGTTGCCAACGAGGGCGTGAGGAAGAAGACTGAGAGCGACACCGCTTGCTGGTGCTGGCTGCCTCGCATATGGGCGGCAAGGTGTACGGTGTGCGGGTTGTTTGCGGCCTGCTCTCTCTCCCCTCTATTTCTTCGTGGTTTATGTGTGGAAGAAGAAATATTTTTTAGGAACAAAAAGAGATTAGGCTGTTCGAACAGGCTTTTCCCCAGTGGGCGATGTTTTTTTTTTTCGGCGTTTCACGGATATTCTCGGCGTTTTTTTTTAATGCCGAAAACGACTTTTTCGGCGACTTTCGGCGACTTCCACATGTTTTCGGCGAGTCATACTACTTCAGTTTCGGCGATTGTTGACGATTTTCGGCGACGTACTAGCATATACTTCCAGTAACACAAACGAGCGGGTCGCGACGCGGTTGGACTGCTGCGGAGGCCACCTGTCACCCGTCCGCGAAAAGCGAAATGATGTGTCCTTCGTCCTTCTCTTATCTTTCTACAAACCACAACTTGCATGTTACGCTGGTGTGTACATGCAATATTCCGAGCCCTTAGTTATCAAACAAATAAACAACGAAATGGAATACAGTCGAACCTCGCTTAAGTTAACGAAAATTAAGTTAACTCCCCCAGTAAAGTTAACAATTTTTTTCGGAAACATGGTGCCCCGCAGAAAGTATTGCATACAGGGGGGGTAAAAATACAGTCCACGGACCCCCTCAAAACCAGCAGCAGCAGCAGTGCTCTCACTGCTCTGTAGACCGCCAATAAGAGGTCTGCTGCTGCACCTGCTGTCTGTGGGTATGGAGAGATTCCTTCCATCCAGCGGTGCATCGTCTGCGCCTGGCAAAAAACGATGCGAGGAGCCTACATGCACGGTACCGGACTCCACGGACGATGAAGATGGTGGGGGTAGACCAGAGTCGTGCGTAACATCTTCGATGACAGAGGCCGAAGTTCGCGGTAGCCTAGAGAAGGTTTGCTCCTACTTGTACGCGAACGGAAAGGATGGGGAGTACCGCGAGACCCAGTACCTGCTCTCGAAAGTTGTGCATTCGTTCACTCACGAAACTCAAGTGAAGCGGCGAGCCAAGGAGGGGGGGGAGCTGCAGGCAACTCTGCGCGACATGTGGAGGTCGTAGAGTGTGCGGTACAAACGACCAGAGCTGTGTTTGGGGTGGCCTATGTATGTCTTGAATGCGTGGGACCGCATGAGACTACTACACAGGAGTGGCTGTACATTGCGATCGACGAGAAATGTGTGCGTGGGTTCAAGCGTTCCAACATAGCATCTTGGTTATAGTGTTGTTTAGTAAAATGGACATAAAAATATGCTCCCTCTCACTTTTTTCAGTCTCCTCTCTCGTCAAACACGTAGTGGAGCCCAATGCGCGTCTATTGAGGTATTCACCGCCTCTATTGGCCCCGGGGATGGTGAGTTGTGGTCCCCTGAATTTTAAGTTAACTTCCTCGCCTTAAGTTAACTTTTTTTCGGGAAAAACCATGTGTTAACTTAAGCGAGGTTCGACTGTACTATGATGCTTTGATACTTCGACGTTACGCATGGCATGCACGCTCACGTCCGGGCAAAAACAAACAAATCTGGACAGGTACTGACCCACCAACTACGAACAAGTTAGACATCTACACGAAAGTGAAACACAGGCCATCAGTCGCTTTCTTCATCGCTGCCATCGCTCTGGTCGCTACCGCCGCCGCTGTTGGCATCTTCGGCGCTACCCGTCTTCTCTGCTGAGCTGCTACTCTGGGCCCGGCCCCTGCTGTACTTGAGCAGTGCGGAAGCGCAAATACGGTCGCTGTACACGTGCTCCTGCCGTTCATTAAAGCAACACCGCAGGATGGAAAACACTCGTTCCATGAATGAAGAGGATGGTTGCAAAAGAGCAACATCCAACACCAAGGCGTGCCACGTAGGCAGCCTTTTCTTGTTGTCCTTCCAGAACGCCATGTATGTGGCCGTACTCGATGTCTGTGTCACTGGCCGCCATGTAGTAGTCTTCCTTCTCCTTCAAAAGCCCCTTGACCATCTTGCTCTTGACGAACGGGAGCACCTTGAGGCTGCGAATGGTGTCATCGGAGTACTTCTTGCTTTTCATGAACACGAAGTCCGTCAGCTTCGCGGCCTTGAACATCTCCAAGGTCTTGGCCTCCCTCGCTTGGGAGTGGCGTCCGACCCTGTCGTGTGCGTACTGGCGGAGGGTGTCCAAGTCGTCCTGCATTTCGCTCGCGAGCAAGTCGGAAGATGCCCCCTTCACAAGCAACACGCAACGCAAATTAACGGACGACAACCAAGGAGCAATAGGAGAGAAAGGATGAAGGTGGGCCAAGGTTTAATTTCGTTGAAAACACGCGCGGAACGACTAACGGCATCTTCTCACACAAGTAACACACGATGTGTTGCCCTCTTCAATTTACACAATCTAGCGTGAAGATAATAAACTATAGTATCTCGCAGCCCGCGGCCCGTAGTTGAGCTCACCAGGTCGTCCCCTTGGCCGACTAGTTTGTCGAGAAGAGCAGCGACGGTGGGCAAGGAGACATCCTCTGAGAAAACACCGTCTTCAGCTAGCTCAAACTTGCTGCGGAACCGCTCCACGACGTTGTACGTCTTGTGCGCCTGCCATCGTGAGAAAGCGGCACCGAGAGCGGCGAAGTGGAAAACGAGGCTAAATGTTGATACAAAAAAATAGATGAAGCAGCGAAAGAAACTACCACCGCAAGAAAAAAGACGCGCGAAATGTCTGCTTTCTGCTTTCCACAAAAAATGGACGAGCCCTACTTATGTACGTACAAACGGCTCGTCGCCCTCCAGGACGATAGTTGCTGAAGTCACGGAACGACCGACGTCCACCATCAGAGCCAGGTGCAACTGGAGAACTAAGCTCTGGGCCTTGTTGTCGTCGCGAACTCGCACTAGCTCATCCCTCATGAACTTCGCCGCCTTGCTCTTGTCCGTGTCTGCACTCTCGTAGGCGGCGATGAACTTCAACACTCCCGGCCAATTCATGGCGATGATGTAGTCACGATCGAATCTGGAGCCCCACCGGTGTCCAGGCGTCGATGGGGCGCGGACTCCGACTTTCTCTTTGAAGAGCGCCTTCGCTCCAGCGCTGTGCGAGGGCAGGGTGTGCATCTTGCCAATGAACGTGTCCAACTCCGGGGTGCACAGCTGCTTGGCGATGTTGTGGAATGTGTGGGACAAGCAGCCGATGACGACCGCGTATCTGAACAACTTCGCCAGCGCGTCCATGGCTAGAAGGTTTGCCGCGCAGCTGTCACCCATGATGGCTCGGCACTTGTCCGGGTCGAGGCCATACTCATGGGTGACGATGCGGGTGACCTCACCAGCAATGTCGTCAGCCGTCATGCTCTTCTTCAGCATGCTCAACCGCAGAACACGCTGTGCCACCTGTCGAGATAAGGTCGAAACATAGACGCGACGGGAGAGGGGGCACAGGAACTGGGTGGTTTCGCGGCTGCCAAACTATTGCTATTGCTTTCACGTCTAAATCGNTACACTACCGCCTTGGAAAACAGACATACCAGGCACAGCCCCTCTTTTGTGGTAACTTTTGTTTTCTCACCTCCTCCTCTAGGATCAAAGGTATGTGCTCAGCCAGATGCCCGGAGCTTGGCAAGTTCACGTTGACGTGCGCGAG